CCAGCAAAGCCAACCTACTAGTCTACAAAAGACCTTCATTAGGCAGGAGGTTCTCAAATTCCCAGCTGTGTCACAATAACCAGAGGGCTTGCTAATACCAAGATCCCAGGCCTGCAGAATGGCTCGGTGGGTAGAGGCTCTTGATGCCAAACCTGGGCACCTACATTTGATTCTGAGAACCCACAGGATCTAAAGATAGATCTGTCCTGTGACCGCCACAGTCATCCTGTGGCGTGTGTGCACACTCACTCAGTCACTGCATAAATAACTAAAAAAAAAAAAACTCAGGTTACAGGAGCCTTGCTACCAAAATTTCCAATTCAGCAAGTGTGAGGTGCGGCTCCAAACACTGGATTACTAACCAGCTCCCCAGGTGCCTGACTGGTGCTGGGGAACACTCTTCAGAACTACTGCTCTAGTATGGAACCTTGAGAAACTTCTCTAATGTGTCATGCCACAAAACCTTTGAAAGGTGTGCACAGACTCTCACATAATGTATTGTGCTAAGATGTCTGCAGAAAGCAAAGTGTTTTAGACTTGATGCAAAGAACAAATGACACAGCAACAGCACAAGAGGACTTGGAAATTTTTAAACAGTTAAGATGCAGCTTTGCAAATGAAATTACAGCAATAGTCTAAAGAGACAGCTGGAACTCCTGGTCCTGACTGTACAAAAAGACAGTGCTACCGAGGACCAGTGGGGACTGGTATCTCCAGAAGCATCATTTGAACTATCAAAGGACACATCCATCCCCTAAACATTCCGTGTTATGTTAGAAATCTGGGAGATACATAGGGGAGCTTGGAAAGAGAGAAAGAAGGAAAGAGAGAGGGGAGGAGAGAGGGGGGAAGAAAGAAGGAAAGAAAGAAAGAAAGAAAGAAAGAAAGAAAGAAAGAAAGAAAGAAAGAAAGAAAGAAGGCAGGGAGGGAGGGAGGGAGGGAGGGAGGAAGGAAGGAAGGAAGGAAGGAAGGAAGGAAGGGAAGGAGGGAGGGAGGGAGGGAGGGAGGGAGGGAGGGAGGGAGGGAGGGAGGGAGGGAGGGAGGAAAAAGATAATTCTGCTCAATGCTTTGATGCTTTGATGTTTGGGGTCTCAGCAAGAGAGTAAAGGCCAAGGATGATGGAAACAGAAAGTATCAAAGACCAGGGGATGCAAAGTCTGAAAGCAATGTCCAAGGCCAGCTGTGGAGGGGATGCTAACACTGTGTGAAGTTTGTTTGGCCAGCTTTGCTTGATGTGTTTCACAGTGTGGAGGAAAGCTTGGCTAGTATGACAGGAAGACAGAAAAAAGGGAAAATTAAAGAGATGTGGAAAAGGAGCCAGCCATGATGAGTGTAGCTTCTTGTGATGCCAGCACTCCAAAGACTGGGGCTAGCTAGCCTGGGCTACATGGTGACACCCCATCTAAGACACCTCCCAGTGGGGCTGGGTGATATGCAGTTCTGGCAGATGACCTGGTGCTGGTGATGGGGAAAGTTCTGAAAACTGGTCAAGCCTCAGCAGGAGGTGTCCCAAGTGTCACCAGGAACATCTGGGAATGTGAGCACAAGTCACACATTGCTTTATGGCGTTGGGCGAGAGAGAAAAGTGCAACACGAGTTTTCTCAGGGTTTCCCTTTATTTTCACCCAGTCTTTATGAACCAAGATTGCTACTAACTCAATTTAACATCGCAAACATTAAATTACAGCACCTGTTTCACAGCCTTCACCTATTTGCCATCATGAACACTTGCAAACTTTGTTGAAAAGTTTGTACACCGACCTGCAAACACAAACAATTCTGCCTTGATTTCTGGGGGGCCCTGTGGAGAGTACCACATGCAATAATGTCTTCGCTCAGCAGAGGGAGCTGTGGCCCTGTATCTACGCTGTGGTGACTTTCTGAGAGGTCCTATGAGGCTTTGTAAATTTGAAAAGGTTGACAACCCTCTTACACTTTCTCCTTAAAATGTCATTTCTAATTTCACTAATGAGCTATGGACTCTGAGCTCCTGTTGTCAGGCATTGGAATCTTTACAAATGATTTGTTCCTATGGTATCCACTCCAGGTATTTTTTTTTTAGATGCCCTGATTTTAGACAATGTACTTCATTTCATAAAATTGCTTTTTAGATGTAAGTCCCAATTTTTGAAAAAGATTTATTCATCTGTATCTACATGAATCTGCATGCCTTCCTACCCTGGGAAGCCAGAAAGCATTATATCACCTTGAGCTGAAATCACAGGTGATTGTGAAGAATTTAGTGTAGATGCCCAGAACTGAGACTTGGTCCTTGGCATGGCCAGCAAGTATTCTCACCACTGAGCCAACTCTCCAGCCTCAGAAGTCCCAATTCTTAAGATTTTTAAGCCAACTTTTCTAATTTAGGGTGGAGTGAGTGAGTGTGTGTGTGTGTGTGTGTGTGTGTGTGTGTGTTTACTAAAGTTAATCTCCTGCACTTGAATACAGAACATCCCTATACACAAGTAATTCTTTTTTTTGCATAATCTTGCAAATTTTTGATGCCAGGGTGATTTGAGAAATTTTTTTACCAAACACAAAATGCTATTGGCAGATGGTAATATTCTTTTTTTTCTCAATATATGTTTTTATTTAAATTAGAAACGTGAAGGCTTCACATGTCAGCCCCAGCTCCCTCTCCCACTCCTCTTCCCTTGTCCCTCCACCAGTCTCCCAGTCCCCACCCAATCCCCACATCATTCCCCAGGGAGGGTGAGACCCTCCTTGGGGGGATCTCTAAAGTCTGTCATTTCATCCTGGGCAGAACCTAGGCGATAATACTCTTTAATTATGTTATTCCAGTTAACCTTACAGAAAGATCAAAGCCAGAAAAAGATCCTAAAAATCAGTCTTTCTCAAAAATGATAAAGAGTTTTGCTAAAATCAAGTCTCAGACACTCGCAATTCCATATTGATCAATTTCCGTGATGTCTGTGGTGCACGGTCTGCTAACTGGCAGCCGTGTTAATAATACTCCTTCCTCCATTGTTACGCTTGACTAGCACATAAGATAACTTCATAAAACAAGCCAATCACACATAAGTGTGAGCTGTTTCTTGGCTCTCATAAAGCCCTATAAGGAAAGCTCCATGACAGTGGCCAGTCCGAAAGGAGGGACAGTGTTTGTCAATAAGGGTTCTTCTATAACACATTTGGAAAGTTCTCTGGAGCACTGGCTTTTATTGCGCTTTCCTACAAACTGAATTCCAAGGTCTTAGCCCTCAAACTGGAAGGGAGCTAGGAATTACCTAGTAACCTAGGAAATGATGGCTCTGGGAGATGCAGCTTTCTCTTCCTTGACTGGAACAGGATGCTACAAGGCTAGCTGCTGCTAACTTGGCCTGAGATTCGTTTGCTTCCCCGAGGTTGCATAACGATTGTGGCTATTCTTTCTGGTCATGATGATCTTGACAGGCAGACAGCAAAGAGAAACTAACCAATACAAAGATCAAAAGACAATTCCTGAATCCATGAGGCAAAATCTTAATGTCTGGGTAGCTAGCCTAGCAATGCTGGCTTGACCAAGAAGGGTGGAAATGCAGGCTTCATCAAGGATCATAACAGACATGCTAGAACTAGCCTGTTAATAGCAGAACCAAGTGAAGGATGGCCCATGTCCACCTAGCCTGGGTCCCTGCCTCCCCCTCCACCCCTGACCCCCAGCCTGGATCTCTGCCCACCACACCCCACCCCTGAGCCTGTGTCCCTGCCCCCCAGCCTGGACCCCTGCCCTTCAAGCCACTACAAACTGTTCTCCTGAGCAGGAGACAAGCAGGGTCCAAACAAAGTAAACAAAGCCAGCCACACCTCCAGCTGTTGACAGATCCTGGACCTTGTGCCATGCTGTATGTCCTTCCTGCTTTTAATTGAGTTGTACACTGAATTCTGCATGTTTCTAGGACAGGGAAGGAGAGGTGTCTTCATAAATTCCAAGAGTTTTGCTTAAGCCAATACATAGTAATATAATCAGGGCTTATTAAAAAGCTTTGCAGACTGGCTCATAAGAGGCAAAAAAAAATATCCCCAGCATGAAAAGGTGACCCTACAGCTGCAAGGACTTTTTAGAAGTTAAGAACAACTGTTTGTAACGTATGATAAACAAGCCTTCATATATACTGCGTGTCTAAGAGCTTGTGGCCTTTCTTCTTTTGCTGACCGGGGCGGGGGCAGCCACCAGCTTTCTGAGTGAGGCTAGGGACAAGTGACCATTGGAACATTTGTAGCTTTCATGCAGCAGAGAGTCAGGGGCACTGGGAGAGATGCTCAGCAGAGTCTCCTTCTGTTCTCTGATGGTAAAAGTTATCCCTCTAGTAGAAAGCACTGACTTCCCCTGGCAGCTCTCAATCCACCACTGAAATCCTTGTTCAGTTGTCCTATGAAGCACATGCCACTTGCCCAGCTATATGGTAATCCATGGAGCCAAGACTGCCAGTCACTCCCTGTAATCTGTGTGTGCACATGTGATCACAACATGTATGCACACGTGTATGGCTGTGTGAAAGTCCAGCAACAACTCTGGGTGCTTTCATCCACCACTCCCCACACCTGGTAGTTTTGTTTTGTGACAGGGTTTCTCCTTGAACCTGGAACTCACCAGTTCCAGTAGTCTTCCTGGCCCGTGGGCCCCAGTCCTTCTGAACCCACCTTCCCAGCACTGGAATTACAGTCACACACTGCCGTGCCAGCCTTCTATCGGCTGAGTCACCCATCACCACACCGAACAGTATTGTGAACCCACATCATTCCTACTGCAGAATGAGACACGCACTGGCTTCATGCATTTGGAGAGAAGGAAGTCATTTTGTACAAAGTTCTGTTTCCTTTGTCGGTAATGGTTTCACATCTCCCTGAATGCCGAGACCTACTTGAAGATGGAAGCATGGTGCAAAATCGAAACCATGACGTCTACTTTGCACTGCAGATTCCTGTCTGGAACGTTAACTGAGAGCAAAATGTTCTGGTTATAAACGCGGTGGTGAGTGACCCTTTTCTGTTTGCAGTGGGAGAAACTCCAGATGACCACAAGCGAAAGAAGGAAAATATTCTGCTCTGTCACGTTCCATGTCATCGCGGTCACCTGTGTGGTGTGGTCTCTGTACGTGCTGATCGATCGGACAGCGGAGGAAATCAAGCAAGGTAACGACAATGGTAAGGACATGGCTCCCCTCCCCCCTCCTCCCCTGGATTCTCATGAGGGCGTCCAAGGGTTGACAGGGAGCTGTGGCCAGAAGTTTGGGTTTCCAAGTGGACGCCTGCGCAAGGGTTAGCACTTGTAACCAAACCTTCCCCAATTCTCTCCTTGCTCAGCTCTGTCTAAAAACCATGGACCACTGTTAGGCCCAGGTGAAACTTGTGGGGAAGACACATCACCTCTTCAGACTTCCCAGAAGCTCGCTGAGTGTCAAGCTCTGTCTGACGCGGAAACACAAACTGTCAGAAAAGCGGAGAGTTTCCCGGCTGTGTGGCCCATGTCTTTAATTCCAGGACTAGGGAGGCAGAAGCAGTCAGATCTCTGCATGAGAGGCCAGTCTAGCCTACAGAGTGAGTTTCAGGATAGTCAGGACTATACAGAGAAACAAAGAAAAGGAAAGGAAAGAAGGATGAAGGGAAGGGGGGAGGGAAGGAGGGAGGGAGGGAGGGAGGGGGGGAGGAAGGAAGGAAGGAAGGAAAGTGCTTTAAAGTTTCATTTAATTCACCCTACCTGTTGCATCTTTGAAGGCACACAGTAACACTGTAGTATACAATGTGTGCTGGGCAATTTGATGCAGTGGACTAGCAATGTAGTTGAAAAATTTAGCTATGCCCAGTTTGTGAAGAGTGGTGTCTGGGCCACAAAGAAAGACATTCCAAAATATACTTATGTTTGTAGCCTTCCCAGACTTGCCCACATGGGGGCAGCAGAGCACACCAGCATGCCTGTGCTCTGAGCTCCCGGAAGTGGGATGGACTTTGAAGGCTGCAGGACTCCTGGCCTGCAAGGTTGTTTAAGATGCCCTGGAGATAGCCTTGAAGGTCTAGAGTTCTTTTCTAGAAACAAAATCAAAGAAAAGCATATGTCTAGTCTAAACACTAGAGACACAGGTAGGATGGGATGTTTTCGGAATTCATTTATACAGCATCAACTCATTTATAAACTGCATCAGTTACAGCAAGCCTCTGCTTTGCCACATTACGGATCTGCCCAGAGGCTCTTGCTTCTAAGGTGTCAGATCACATCTGGATTAAATAAATCCTCATTCCCTGCAGATAGGATCTCAAAAAATAATAATTGCACATAACAAGTTCCAGACCCCCAGCTGTGCCTAAATGGAAAGCAGAGAAATCCCATCTCACATCACCCAACTCTCCCCTTGGGAGCAAAGCGCTCCTAGCTAGGCAGGGCAGATCTCATGACTGCTGGCCAGAGACTTCCTACTCTTAGATGGCAAAGGGAGTCCCCACTGGAGAAACACATTCCCATGACTAGGCATTCTCCTGACTTGGCCAGACTGTGGTGGACAAGAAGCAGGACCTCATCTCTCCTATGCTGTACCCAGACAAGATCGCCATGGAAACCCTGTATTTAATCAGCTGCGCTTGTCTGATACCCGAGAAACTCGAGTTGTGGCTGTTTACAGTACAAGGAGCTTGATAGTCTCGAATGTGGAAGTCAAGAAATACAGTTCCCTCCTTCCTTCTGTCCCCCTGCTCATGCTCACCCCTCTATTCCTATTCCCTTAGCTGCTGTTTGCATGCTGACAGCCACACCCCCCACTTTACACCCATCTCATAATGTGCTCCAAAGCTTGCATCTCCCTCTCTCCTGAGGGCATCTCTGAAAGTCTTCCAGGGACTCAAGCTCAGTGTGTCCACATTATCTCCCACAGCCAACATCAGTACCACGAGAAAGGCATCCCTAATAACTAGGTCCCCTCCTTTCTCTGGTCAGTCTTTCTTCTCCCTGAAATCAATCACCAAACCCTATGCATTCTGCCTCATAGCCTTGTACCTTTCCATTTATCTCCTCCACTAACAACATTCATGTGAAAACTTATTTATATACAAGAACAGCCGAAGCCTATTACCTAGATCTTCTCCATTCTCCCCACCTTCAACTCGTGTTCATTACCTACCCCAAAGTGCAAAACCATGAATCCAAACAAGTCCTATCCCCACTTAGTCAATATTGTCAAAATGTAACACTAATTCTTTCTTGGGACTCTGCTGCCCCAAGTACCTAGATGTCACCAATTAGTTCAAACATCTATTTCTAAATCCCTGCTCAGCTTTTCCCTCTATGTAAAGTGATTCTTTCAAGATTCCCTTGCCAACACACACACACACACACACACACACCAGACATATTCACATATATATACACACACACCACATACAACACACACAATACACAACATACACAAACATGCATACAACACACACAATATATACACATAACACACATACACAGCAGACATATTTACATATAATACACAAACACACACTGCATACAACACACACAACACACAACATACACTAACACACATACAACACACACAATACACACAACACACACACAACAGAAATATTGACATATACATACACACAAACACACACACAAAAGGCATACTCACATATACACACACAGAACACACACACACACACAAAATGACACACACATGTGGGGAGAATCGGAGGAAAATGGAAAGACTATACTTCCATGCATATCCCTAGCCTAAGTCCTAGGAAACTCAACTCAAAATAGTCCTAGGACCAGAAGCATTGTCACTTTTTGGGAATTCACTAGAAATAAGCATTCTAGTCTTCCATTCCCCCAGACCTCTGCATGTTAAACCCATGTGTAGCTCCCAGCAGTCCAGGCTTTTAAACTGACAAGTATTTCTCAGGTCTGTGAAAATCAGAGAGGCACCACCCTGCTGCATGTTACCAGAGTCCCTGGAACTTACCTTTGGTGGCCCCCTATTTTCCTTGAAGATTGATTGCCTGTGGGGTTTCCCTACCACCACAAAGCCTGCTGCATCTCCCTGGACACCCAGACTTACTCCTTATGTGAGTGTATCCTGCAGCCATGCTGTGACTCTCAGCCCTACCAAAAGACTCATCATTAGCATAATTGTTCATGTGTTTATGTACCTTGACTTGCTCAGAGCAGGCATACAGGAATGTAGGGAGCTATTATCTCTGATCGCCGCAGCATTGTCTGGGACCAGGCAAGTGACCTAGCCAGTGTGCGTTAGTGTGGACCCAAGCTTTCCCACTCTTTAGTTTGTGGTATTTTCTTTGAAATGCTGCTTCCTCATTCCCATGCGGGGCACTGTCTTAGTTATGGTTTCTGTTGCTGTGATGGAACACCATGACCAAAAGCGAGGGTTTATCTCAGCTCACACTTCCCAGTTAGGGTTACAGTCCTCACCAGAGAAGGAAGGACAGGAACTCCAGCAGGGCAGGAACTTGCAGGCAGGCGCTGATGCAGAACAGAGGTCATGGAGAGCTGCTTACTGGCTTGCTCCTCGTGGCTTGCTCATCCTGCTTTATAGGCTGGGTCCTCCCCCATTGACTACTAATCAAGAAAATGCCTTAAAGCTGGATCTTACCGAGGCATTTTCTCAGCTAAGATTCCCTCCGATCAGATGACTCTAGCTTGTGTCAAGTTGACATATAGCTAGCCAGGACAACTGACCCTTGGTCAACTTGACACACAGACATCACTTTCCAACTATAAACTTTCCTTTCTCATGTATCCCCAAGATGTCATATTACTCTAAATATCACAATTTAAAACATAAATAACTTTAACAGGCCCATGCTTCTTACAAATTCAAACACATTAAACGTTCAGTCTCTTAACAATATCCAATCTCTAAAAAGCCAAGCTTTCTTTTAAAACTTTGAAGTCTTTCAGCTGTGGGCTCCTGTAAAAAAAAAATCAAAATTAAGTTAAATGCTTTCTTCAAGAGGGAAGAACCAAGGCACAGTCTTGATCTGAACAAAGCAAAAGCCAACTCCAACACTGTAAACAACTCAGTGTCCAATGGTCTGGGGTTCACTCACGATCTTCTGGGTCATGAGTCACTTCTCTGGATCTGCCCTCTGCAGCACAACACAGGCCCACTACTTCAGACCACGAATATCCCTACAGAAGTCAAACTTCCCAGTAGAGACCTTGTCACTTCTCTGGATCTGCCCTCTGCAGCACAACACAGGCCCACTATCTCAGACCACGAATATCCCTACAGAAGTCAAACTTCCCAGTAGAGACCTTGGTGCTGGTGGTGTAGCTCAAGTGGTACAGTGCCTGCCTAGCGTTCACGATGCTGGCGACCATCACCACATGAGCAGACTGTGATGGCTGCATCCGTTATCTTCTCGAGTAGGAAGGTGGCAGGAGCATTAGGAATTGGGAGTCATTTTTGACTACAGAGTACACTCAAGGCCGGCGCAGGCTATATGAGATTCTAAAAAGAAAAACTGGTCATCCAGAGTTGGCTTTCCTGCAGAGATTAGATAGTGTTCGTGCCATTTCCGCTGCCTATCAGAAGGCGCAATGAGATCATCTTCATCTTTGGTATTCAGGGTGGATGACTGAGGAAGCAGGGATTTGTGGAGCAGAGGAGTCTGTGGCTCTCCACAGAGCTGGGACATTTTCCAGGACAAAGAGAGTCGCCTGTATTTACCACCCACTGGCATCTGAAACCTTCTCCTCCCTGTGCCCCCCCACACATGGTAGGGCAGCATGCACAGGCGCCTGAATTGTCTGAAGTCTTACTCCCCCCCCACACAAAGGTGGGGTGACAGCAGTGTCTGTCTGAGCTGTTAGTATCTTAATCTTCCTCAGGCACTGTGAATGCTGATCCTGAATTCACCTTTGAAGTTCCTGGAGAAGGACTGCATAATTTAAAAAGCTAGAATATTTTACATCCGTTTTGAAGCCCTTCAGAAATGTCTGAAGAGGAACAACGTGTCCTTTCCAAGCGGAACTGATGTTGAGTCTACAGCAGCAAATGTGGCTATGGTGACAACAAGGGAGGAAAACAAACTCTTTGTCTGATTTAAGATGCTGTTCCTTTAGATTAGGCTGTCTGGTCCTCCCCCCACCTCCCAGCCCCCCACCCTCCGCCACACACCTTGTTTTCCCACACCCTCTTCCTCACACTGACAGTCTGAATTATTGCTGTCACTGCCTCTTTCACTTCAGAGGCAAATGGTCCTCCTGCCTCTCCCTTGCATGTTCTAGACAATCGATTCCGTGTGCTACTTCATCTAAAAAGAAAAAAACCTTTTTTTTTTGCAGCAGAGTTTGTACCAAGAATTGAGTGTCCCTTCTGCAGGACTTTCATTTATTTATTTATTTATTTCAGAATATTGCTGTTTGCAAGGCTGATCCTTTGATACTGAACATCCAAGTATTGGCCAAAGCTCCTCTAGGCAAAGATCGTGTCTTATAGTTCAGAGAGCACTTGGCATTGATGGAAGTTCAAACCAGATCACTAACCATAGCCATAGCCATAGCTAGCAGTTGCTGGCAGGCCAGGCTCCAGCTCTGCCTTCTTCAGCTATGCTGAAGAAAATCATCTCTCTGAAGCCAACCTTCCTCATTTGGAAAAACCAAGACAGCCAGACTCACCCTGTGCCTCCTGCAGGCTTTTTTATATGACTCATTTTCAGACATCGTGAACTGGGTTTTTGCATTAACTGAAATGTGTTTATACAAGTGGCACGTCACATCAGTCATAGTTTATTTACACTGAATTTGAATATTATTTAAGAACTTGATTGGGATATTAAAAGAAATTAAGGAAAAGCTATCCTGTGTTGTTTCCTTTGCACAGCTGTGAAGGGGAAAGCAGAGAGCACCAACTCACACACACTTCCTGTGCAGTCACACCGTAACTGCATCCTGTGCAAGTGATACCTGTAACTGCATTACTATGCAGTCACACCGTAACTGCATCCTGTGCAAGTGATACCTGTAACTGTGCATTTCTGTGCAGTCATACCTGTAAGTGTATTCCTGTGCACTCATACCTGTAACTGCATTCCTGTGCAGTCATACTGTAACTGCATTCTTGTGCAGTCACACCTGTAAACTACGCATTCCTGTGCAGTCACACCTGTAACTGCATTCCTGTACAGTCACACTGTAACTGCATCCTGTGCAGTCATACTGTAACTGCATTCCTGTGCAGTCACACCTGTAAACTACGCATTCCTGTACAGTCACACCGTAACTGCATCCTGTGCAGTCATACCTGTAACTGCATTCCTGTACAGTCACACCGTAACTGCATTCCTGTGCAGTCACACCATAACTGTGCATTCCTGTGCAGTCACACCTGTAACTGCATTTCTGTGCAGTCATACCTGTAACTGCATTCCTCTTCAGTCATGCCTGTAACTGCGCAGTCCAAGCACCAGCTAAGCACTTTCCAACTTAGCAGTAAGATGCTTTATCAAGACATGCAGTGTCCCTGCAGCTTCTGGGTTCTCTCTCTTTTGCTGCTGGATGATTTAAGGCCTAAGACACATTCTAGGTGTTTCCAGTCATGTGAGCACTAAGAAATACCAAACTTAAAAGACAGACATAGATTGTTGGCTTAAAGATGAGAAAATGTATAACTTGCCTGATCTACAACTATATTACAAGCCTATCTGGGACCTTCTGGTTCGTCAGATTTGAATTAAGGAAAAAACAGAAGATGATGTATTCAAGGCATCCTAGCCCATGTGCCAGAAAGGACAGAGATTTGATTTTACTCTCAAGGGAAACACATTTTCTGAGAAACAGTATTTATAGGAAGCAAATGAATCTGAAAGGGCCCAGGGACTGTGGCCCAATTTATAAGCCACTGTCATTTGGTTAGATACTTGATATAAGAACTCCCTAACGCCGGGCGGTGGTGGCATATGCCTTTAATCCCAGCACTCAGGAGGCAGAGGCAGGCAGATCTCTGTGAGTTCGAGGCCAGGCTGGACCGACAGCCTCCAAAACAATACAGAGAAACCCTGTCTCATAAAACAAAAAAAAAAAAAACTCCCTAACAGCTGGAGACATGCACAGAGGTTAGAGGTTAAGAGCACTGGCTGTTCTTCCGGATGTCATGAGTTCAATTCCCAGCAACCATGGTGGCTTACAGTTGTCTAAAATAAGATCTGGTGTCCTCTTCTGGCGGGCAGGCAAACATGCAAGCCAAACACTCTATACATAATAAATAAAATCTTAAATAAAAAAAGAAGATCTCCCTAACAAACTCAGTACACACAGTTGCTCCTTATGTTTAAGGGCCTTTTCACCGATTTTTCATGGTCTTTTGAGGTATCCCTCTGGTGAAAAGAATTAGAATTGCGAGGGACACTAAAGGCACATGCTGATGTTGTACAGAGTTGCCTCTGTTCCAATACTGTAACCAGCAGCTAACTAGACTTCAGACCCCCTGGATTTTGGAGGCATACAGAAGATGGGGCCTACGAAAAGTGGGAAAGATTTTAATGTGGGCACCGCAGGAATGGCTGCTTTTTCTGTGCAGTTTAGTCAGCCAGAGACATGAAATTCTCAGGTCAGTCACATGCACTCTGACAGCCGGTCTACCATGCTGTTATTCGCTGAGCTGACACCACGAACCCCGTGGGCAGGAGTAACTTTTGTCTTTGTTTCTAAGCAATGTGTCAGTTGGTCTCTACTATGCAAAAACCCATCCACACATGGTGACTTAGAACAGCAATCTCATTCTGGGCTTTGCCTAGGCATTTGTTCTGCCTGAGACAGGTGAGCTGGTCTCCACGGTCAACTGCTGCACCTGGAGAGAGCTGTCACTCCACCCAGCAGCTGTATAGGCGAGCATAGGTACCTTTACCTTCCTGGCCATGGAGATGCTATTAGCTAGAATGGCAGCTGAGGCTAAGCTGCACGGCGGCGTCTCTGTCTCTGTCTCTGTCTCTGTCTCTGTCTCTCTCTGTCTCTGTGTGTGTGTGTGAGAGAGAGACAGAGAGAGACAGAGAGAGACAGAGAGACAGAGACAGACAGAGACAGAGAGACAGAGAGAGAGAGAAAGCACATTGGAGAGCAGAAAAGGTAAACTACATACACGATCTCTGACAACATAAACTGAGCTCATGTTTCTTTAAAAATTAACAGCCTAGCTATTTCTCCAGCTTGGCCTTTGCTATTGTTCTGATCTTCTAACACACTGGTCCTGTAATGTGACAGTTGCAGGGTATTCAAAACGGAGCCCAGATGGCTCAGCAAGTAAAGGCACCTGTAGTTAAGCCTGAGGACCTAAGTTTGATCCACTGACCATAATGCCCAAGGTACTTCTCCAAAGTAGTGACTCGGGAAGTCATAGCTGTCTTCAGCCCCTCTTCCCTATTTAATATTCTTTGTCCTGCCATTTTCTCCAAAGTGAATTAACATTATTAGTGTTTCTGGTGGAATTCTGTGTAGATAATTTGAGATATTTTGAAAAAGCACTTGCCTTTTCAGACAGCAAAAGCATTTTTCTTTCTATCGCAACTCCAGAGATTGACCTGGATTGCCATGGTGATAGGGATCATGAAGTTTCACAGATATTAGCTAGAAATAACGTCACTAAGTAAGGCATGGATTCTGTGTGTGTCAACGTCATGGCACAAGCTGCATCCTCTTCTCACTGGAGTGGGCTCTAATTGGATGGTTTACTATAAAGAGGATGGGGACAGCCCATGCTGCAATCTGAGGCTGTATTAGGACAGGGGACACTTGGTTTCTGACACTACACAGATAGGACTTTAGATAAAGTATAAGAGAGACGTAGGTGAAGGGAACTTCTTGGAGGGAACTTCTTGGCTATGCAGAAACTTTCTAGTAAGTTCTATTGCATACTCTTAACACACTGTAAAATAAGCTTCAGATTTGATTACTGAGAGAAGAGTATAAATACATTTAGGTGATCAAAGCCAGGTATCAGGATTAACGTGGCATCAACAGCAGCGGGGAGATGTTTTCTGCCAATATCAGAAATCCATTTAAGTCCAGAGAGTTGCTCCCCCACTCCCATTTTTCAAAGGAAAAGTTTCCTTCACGCACACAAGAAAAAGGTAATACACTTAAATAAAAAATCGTATAAGTATTCAGGGAAATCATATTTGAGAAATGCTAGCTTCATAAACAACCAATAGCACAGGAAATATTAAAACTTTTGTCACGGTCCCAAAGTTTGCATTGTTCACGGAAGAAAGCAATTTTTATAGCCAGCTACTTGACATCCTCGAAGCATCAGCTCTGTGAATGAATCAGTAGCATTGCTTCCTGAGGAGTCTGAACATACTGTAAATGCCTACTGTTTCATAACTTGGGGAACCACATATTAACACTATTTCCTTTGGCTGACCCTGTGGCACAACATACATAATTCAGGGCAAGCTTGTTTAGTAGGGATCGTAGTGGGGATGATTAAATGCGGATATGACAACCTGGTAACAACACCCTCTCTTTCTGTCTCACAGGTGTGCTGGAATGGCCATTTTGGACAAAACTGGTTGTGGTGGCCATTGGCTTCACAGGAGGTCTCGTCTTCATGTATGTACAGTGTAAAGTCTATGTTCAACTGTGGCGTAGGCTGAAGGCCTACAACCGTGTGATCTTTGTGCAGAATTGCCCAGACACTGCCAACAAACTGGAGAAGAACTTTTCATGTAATGTGAACATGGAAATCAAAGATGCTGTGGTTGTCCCTGTGCCACAGACGGGTTCAAATCCACTGCCACCTGCAGAGGGTGCCCCGCCTGAAGTTATACCGGTCTGAAGGAACTGGAGGGGAACTTCACCGAAGGATCTTTGCAGCCCCAGCCACTACGAACAGAAATGTTTCTGCTCTGGTGGCTTCCTTGTTTTCTCCGTTCCCCTACTGACTTGTTTGTCCTGACTTGGAGCAAAAAAGGAAACGAGGAGAAAATATCAAGTGACCAGGATCGCAAGAAGCAGAGCCTGCAGTGGTGTCTTAGGGAGTGAGTTCAAATGCTTCCAGTGAGGAAAGACTGGGCAGACATGAGATCCTCTTTCAAGTAGTGCAGAGGGAATCCTAGAACAGACTTCACATGCAGTGCATGCATCTTTGGAGGGTTCTGTACCGTTAGCCTTCTCCACTGGAAATGGCACACATCTGGTGTAAAGGCCCAAACCAAGTCACACCAGAGGCAAACTTGGAGGACCTGAGGTTTTTTTTTTTTTTTAACATGTTGACAGCTGATTTTTCTGGCTATTGTGAAGTCTGGTTATTTTGACAGATGCATGTTTTTAAATGGATGCAATACACATTTGAAGATAGAATGTTTGGAATTTTGTTTAAATTTAAATCATGAAGAAAAGATTTTCAGAGCATTGTGGTGTTTAGCTAGCAGTTTTTATTGCAAGCAACTATCATGCCGTGTTTCACCTGGTCCCTTTTACACAGCGCTCAACGATAGACACATCACCTGAGTTGCAAATGCAGATGTAAAATTTAAATCTCCTAGTGTGCCCCATTAGGAAAAGTAAAAATAGGTCAATTGATTTTTATAATTTATTCAACATTACATGTGCAAGTTATTTCATGTCATCAATGAAAAGTTATTAAAATGGCTGTCATCATTTTCTTGGACCAAGTCTTCAAAATCCAGCATGTGTTTGTGACACACTTCTACCTGAACGCAGTGTGTTGGATAGGATCTAATAAGGACACTGGACAGCAGAGGCCTCTCATTAAAAGCTACACCTGTCTCATTTAACAGTTGGATATTTCAGAACAGCAGTTCAGTGCGCTATTTTGTTCTGCTGTTTCATTTAAAAGTTGACTTACAAAGCACCAAATTAAGTATCCCAGCTTGAATTCAATGAAGGCACCACTTTTCAAGGAGTGAAAAAAACAGAAGTATAGGGAGTCAGTACGATCTGTAGCAATGTTATGAAATTAACTTCCCATGTAATACATATAAAATAGTCATGACAGGGCAATAAAAATTATAAATTTTGCTTTTAAATCCACATAAATCCACATGGAGTTTCAGTGTAACAGGCGAGCATCTTAACAAAGGCTCTCCACTATGTTCACAGCTGACAGTGTTCCCTTGCTCAGCTCAGAAGTAAGACTACTCCAGAGTCTATGGTGATGAGTTGGTTGTCGGGTCAACAGTTGAGCACTGTGTTCATATACAGTCACACAAACTGCTATGACACTGTGGTGGACTGGGTAAATAACCACATACAGTTACCCAACAAGGAAAGAGACCACAGTTTTCAAAAGACTTTTTGGTTAGCTGTCATTATTTATTGTCCTGAAAAGGCAGAGATGGCCATAAAAACCAAAGCATGGGCATCATGTTGCACAAATCTGGGTACCACATCCACGCACTTTGTAATTATCAGTGTGTTTGTTCTTCACGGATTATCAAAGGAAAAGGAAAAAAAAAAGGGAAGGATCTTTCAATGAGAAGAGAGTATGCTATTTGTAGTGATTGACATTGGGTCCAAATAGTCCCACCCTTAGAAATAACGACATAGTAAACAATGTCAAGTGTGAGTGTGTGTGTGTGTGTGTGTGTGTGTGTGTGTGTGTGTGTGTGTGATGTATATTCATGTATATATACAAGAGAAATGTTAAAAGTATTCAGTCAGGAAACAAAAGCTTAAAAACTCTTCTTTCTTAAAACTTGTGGGAGGGCTAAGGATTAAATATGCAGGGACAATACGAAGGGCATAATTAAACTGGAGCAGACCTCCAGAACAAATAAGGATTGGAATACATTAAAAATTAAAAAGACCCGAACCTTAAACTTGGTATTCAAGTTTTTGAATAGTTTCCATTTTAAAAATGTAAGATGAATATGAACAAAGGATGGATGTGGTGATTGTAACTCCACCCAAGGGGTTAGCCATCCTTCAGTTTTTCTGAGTATTTCCCATAGCTCTTACTAATGCATTTTGGTAGGTACACAATTGTAATCCCAGCATTTGGGAGGCTTAGGTTATCCTCTGCTACACAGTGAGTCCCAAATAGAGACCAGTGTAGGCTACATGAGACCTTTTTCCAAAAACAAAACTACCAAGGTTTAAAACTAAATTAATAAAGCCAGTATTGAAACCGTCTTTGTGCACCCATGTAATAATGGAGTTTTCACTTACTAGCACAATGAAAAGGTTTGGCTTTGGTGAGCAGACTTACAGCTCAGAGAAAAACTGCTTTACAGGATGGCATTATCTTGAGGCTTCGCTACCTGCTCCCACGCAAATTAAGTGAAACTGAAATAAAGCATTCAATTGTTGAGTTTACAGATTGTTGAAACTGCTGACACCGCTTTTTATAAACACAAAGTGAAGCTGGGCTATTAGAAATGGCATAAACCCGACATTGAAAATGCTTTCTATCGAGACTTGACATTTCCATTAGGTATTACTAAATATTCAATCGAAAAGGAATGAAATTAAAACATTTAAAAGTGAAGCCCGGGGTTGGGAGAGACGACTCAGTGATTGGACACTTTCTACTCTCATAGATGGTCCTGGTTTAGTTCCTTGCACCCACATGACAATTCACAACCACCTGTATCTCCAGTTCCAGGATGCCCAACACCTTCTTCTGGCCCCTGGAGGTCCCCACACATATATATGGACAGATACACATGTTAAAAAAATAAATCTTTAAAAAGTTAAGCCCCCCCATTCAGGTTAACTTTAATATAAGACAATAACAAAACCCTATAGAAATAAAGAAAAACATAAAGAGTCCCAATAACTCAGAACAATGTAATGCAGACATTGAGTTCTTCTCAGAATGTCCCCAGGATCAAAACCTCACCCAGAGCTGCTGCTTTAGGCAACAGTATCCCACAGAACCCTCAAACTTATTTTTCTCTTTTGAAAAGAGCCTTGGGTACCCTTCGAACATTTACACTTCTGCTGAAAAGTGAGGTCATTAACACAGTGACATCATTATGAGAAATCACAATGGGGGGTGAAATAGAAAGATCATTTGTTCCAACTGTCAGATATAATTTATCTTGCCTTGCCAATGAATACTTTGGGGGCAAATACTAAGGGGAGAACCTAAAACTTCCTGTTGTAATGGTTATAAAATGGCGTCCTTCCTTGAGCTCAATGGTGCTATTTTACAGGATACAAACGAAAGGAAGCTCTGTCGTTTGGGGCAGCAGCGCTTCTCCCACACCTGAAGAAAGCCCATGCTGAAATGGGAGAGAACATTCAAAGGAGAAAATGTTAAACTGTGTGCAATTTTTGAGATTGGGCATTTGTACTTTTTCAGTTTTACCTAATTGTCTTTCATTAACAATTTGCTGTTTGTGAGTAATGTGTGCTTAAGACAAACTAAGGAAACTAACTATCTGTGAAAGACTTTGTATATTAAACAAATGCTCCAAATCTTGGCTGTAGTTTCTCTACTTTCTGCCCAATGTACTGGAATTCCTAGAATTGTGTTTAGAGCATTCTAAACCTGGAATTCTTGATTTAAGATCTGATAATGGTCTGAGTTTTTAAACAGAAATTGAACATACTTACCTTATATCTAAAGTTATCAACCTCGTGTTTTTACTGGAAAATTGGGGGCCCCACCTAGGATGTCATGTTACTAAGAAAATTGGGGATCCCTTTCAAGGTACTTAGTCTTGTCAATAAAATAACTGAGAACAGACTCAGAAAAAATTTCCAGGACAATTTTATTAGACTTTAATCAACAATGGGGCAGGCAAGCTGGAAACAGCAGCAGCTGCCAGCAGAGGAGAGAGGGCTATGAAATCTAAGACAGCATGCCGCGTGATGGACGCCAGCCATTCTGAACAACGGCTGCACAGACATGTTGAGGGCTTTATAGTGAAAGTGAGAGCCCAAAGGGTGAGGGAAAGCATGCCCAAGTTTGGAACCATACTGGGGGAAGACAGGAAAAAAGAAAAACGGAAAAGTTACACCTTTTTCTGAGCGATGTGCCAACCTAACAGAGCTTCATGGCAGCTCAACATTGACTGCTCCTGGGCCCACCTTTCCGGGAAAGGAAAGCACATTACCTCATTAAAGTGATAATTACTCCTCCTCTATTTAACATGAATGGAGGTTAACTAACTTTTCTAGGGGGTAGTCCCTAGACCAAGGAATGGACCAGTCCAACCAGATTAACTCTCATGTTTCGGGTAGTCTCCACACAGGCCTGGGTAGATAGCATTCTTTTGACCAAAAGGAAATAGATTTCCTTCAATGGGCCTCAAAAAAGAATAAGCATACACTAGCCAAAGGAAGTAACACACAAACTTCCAAAAACCATTTTGAGAGCGCATGAGGAAAATTACAATATGAGCAATGGCCGCATCTCTCGGCCAGCTGCCCCGGCTCTCACATCGCTCTGTGCTCAGGTTGGATGGGGGCAGGGCTCCTCACTATGCTGTCCATTGCTGCCTGCAGTCTGGGGAGCTGTTTGCAGAGAACTCCCAGCTGGTAAACCTGAAGTTTCTAGCTTCATCAAAGAAAAGAACTTCGCATCAGGCCAACACAGTTGGGCCTCATGAAAAACTAAAGGGAAGGTGCTCAGGACAGAGCAGGGAATTTTTTTTTTTAAGTCTAATGCATTTTATTTTTATTTTTAAATTTAAATTAGAAACAAGGTTGCTTCACATGTCAATTCCCTCTCCCTTTCCCTCCCCTCCTCCCACGCCCTCCCACCAACCCTTCCAATACCCCCTCATTTCCCCAGGGAGGGTGAGGCCCTCCATGGGGGTGTCCATAGTCTGTCACTTCATCCAAGGCAGGGCCTAGACCCTCCCCTAAGAGTCCAGGGTGAGAGTGCATCTCTCATTGGTGGATGGGAGCCCAAAGTCCATTTGTATGCCCGGGATAAATACTGATCTACTACCCAAGGCTCAATAGATTACCTAGGCCTCCTCACTGACACCCACGTTCAGGGGGTCTTGATCAGTCCCAAGAGCAGGGCACTTCTAACCAAGTGCATGGTGTCCGCTTTCCTTGGGTCACGTGAGTGTGCTTACAATGAGTATGTCTACATACGAACACACTTGTTGCAGCATCTTCCCAAGTTGCACTGTCTGGAAAGTACTTTATTCTAGTGCTTCAAAGAGTGAACTCATAAGAAGAGTTCTGCCTTGTGGAATTACATGAAAGATTTACCGCACAATTCAGGTATCAGAGAAAACAATATGGAGTGGGGTGAAATGAAAACCTATTGCATTTATTACAGCAGGGTTTTCTAATGCACAGATCAAACAGTTGGATAGTCAGAAAACTAGTATTTGTACACTTAGAAACCTTAAAAAAGGAATGAAATCACAAAGCTGGAAAACAACTCAATGGGGAAAATGTAGATCACTATCCAGAACTGATAGTAGGGTGACTTACAAATGTGCAAGGGGTGACAGCCTTTTGACTGGTATTCCCAGACAATGATCTGCTGCCTGGGAATAGGCATGAAAGAGTCACCAAGTGTGACTACTATTTGGAAGACGTATTAATTACTTTTGTGCTGCTGTAATCCAAATTCCTAACAGGGGGAAAAATAAGGAAAGACGAATTCTGGCTCAGTTTGAGAAGGACTTCAGTTAGTCAGCTTCTGGAGCAACGTGTCAACTTGCATGGTGGCAGACTCAACTGGACCCAGAGACAGGTATAACCTTGGAAGAGCTGTCCCTATGGACAGCCATGCCCCACCTTGTCAGCACTCCACAAACTTCTAGACAGCAGCAGAAGGTAGAGTAGCAGTGTCCAAAGCATGAGCTTGTGGGGGACATTTAAAATTTAAACCACAACACTGTGCCTTTGGCCTCAAAGTCTTATGGGTATCCCAAAATGCATTTAGCTAAACACCATGGTCTTTTAAGGTCTCCATGGCCCTTGAATAGTACCAACATTTTTCAAAGGTCCAAATTTTCTTCTGAGAATCAAGCCAAATTTGTTATGATTCTCTGTAAAATGAAAAACAAGTTACTTCAAATACACAATGAGGCATAGTAAAAATTCCATCCAAGACTGAAGCCCATCAGAGCAATCCTACACTGTGTCTAGGCTCAAGGGCAGTTGGTGGTGGGGGTTTGGCCGCACTGACCCTTCAGAGTACTACTTTCACACATGTACTGATCACTCTGTGTCTATTTACTGTCTCTCCCCTCCCCTCCCCCAGCACTGAGCTAATAGGAAGCTGCCACCCAGCCCTGCTAGGGAAAGAGACTCAGGTCTTCTGTAGCACTTTATTGACCAAGTCATCTTCTGAACCCCATTTTTTCCCCAATTTTCCCTTCTGCAAAATTCAGCCAATTATGTTTTGGATATAGTTTAACATGTCCCCCGTTTATGTGCTTAACATTGCCCCCCCCATCAGCATGTCAATATTCAGAGATAACAGGACTGCAGAAGAGAGGGCAACATAGAAGCCTTCCATTCGCTGCCTTATCCTCCTGCTGACCCCTCCATCTTATATTTCCACCACTATGATGCTGTTGGCCATGAAGTGATGTAGACAGAGCAGCCTCACCCAAAACGCACTCGGCTATTATTTAGACTCCCAGCTAAGTTCCCAGATTAATACAAGCTCTTTAATTTTAAAAGCCTTTCAATGAAAAATTTTCATTCTTCAAAACTCATAAACCTATTTTGAAACTGCAAATGACTTCTTTGAGAATGAGTTCAACAGCACATTCTTACATATAAATAATTACTAAAAATATTTATTTATTTGTGTGAGGTTAGAAGAAAACTTGTAGCATCTGTTCTTTTCATGCCGTGGACCCTGGGAATCAAACTCTGGCAGTCAGGCTTGGCTCCAAGGCACCACCTGCTGAGCCATCTCACCGGCCCACATGACTACTTCCCATCAATGAGCAGGACCTGAGGGTCTTGCGTGGTTTCTTTTTCTTTTCAAGGGCAGGCAGGCACCGGAGTCATTTCTTCATCCGAGTCACTTGCTTCACTTGCTGGTTCCAATTCCCCATCTTGAGAGTCTCCAATTTCCCCAGTTAGTTCTAATTCCTCTAGATCTTTTTCTATATTTAACGTGGCTTTCTGTTTGCGCTTCTTAGGAATTGCATCATTAGCACAAAATTTCCTCATTTTGATGTTTGGCAATTTCCTCAGATCAAAATCCCATTCCCTAAAAGAAATGAACGTAGAGCTGTGGGCAGTGATAGCAGAGCAAGGACAGTCGGTTTCAGAACTCTGCCTGCAGCAGAGGAAAGACCTCAAATTCATAGCAGATTTCACATGCACGTGAAATGTCAACATAAGCAGACGGGGGTATGCAACAGCCCAAGCCCTATGACATGCTTACTACTGCTACAGTAGTATTACATGCACAGAATCCTACACACTCTAGAGTTCTAACACCCTCACAAGTTAAAACTACGTCAGTAAGCTTCTACATCAGAAAAGGCATTCTTCTCACACACAGGCGCACTGCGGTTGACTCTTATAAAAAAAGAAAAATCCCATTTGTGAACCTCTCTACTTGTATGACAATTCTGTCTTCAGGAATCTCATGCGAGAAGTGTGGCGATGACTCCGAGAACGGTTTCCTACCCAGCAATGCTAACATGCTAAGCTCATCTCACACTTCACACTGTCTTTGCAAGAGGCAGACACACTGCTTCAGAAACAAGGAACACATTTTGTTTTCAGTTACACCTGGATTTAAATTTATCTAATTTCAACTCTGGAAAAGAAAATTCAGACTCCCTTACATATTTCAGTGAAGACCACAATTATTAATAAAAAACATTTTCTAATACACAGAATCTGAGTTTCTAGAGCTCAGTAGTCTCCATGGTTACCAGGGCAGAATCACAAGAGCCCCGGACCAAAGGTTCCCAGTGATTAAACGCTTGCCCTGGCACCAGTTTTATTATTCTGTTCTTGTTATTTTAAGAAATAAAAACTAGCATCAGGGGAAAACAGAGACAACTCTAATATACCACTGTTCTGCAAAAGCAAAGGAGCGTCACCAGCATCACTGCATGTACACTGGGTGCTGCCCACAGACACAAGCACACCCATGGACAGGAACACTAACAGAACGCTCTCCACTTCCTTCTCTATTAACATCTACACCCACGGAAGTTCGTGCCTTGTGTATTTCACAATATAACTTCCAAAGAACTCAGATACTTACCGAAAAGTCTGCAGATTATTAGTGTCTAAAATGTCTGGAATCTCTGAAAAAGAAAATGATTAATATCCATTAGGCATTTTCCTTCTAATGGTCACTAATGTTAATAAAAAGGAAACCTTTTTAAATGTACGTGTAAATGTGTCTGTACATCACATAAATGCAGATGTCCGCCAAGTCCAGAAGGCGTGGGATCCCCTAAAGCTAGAGTTACAGGCAGTGATGAGCCGAACTGCTACAGTCAACACAAACACTACACTTAGGAAGAATAGTGTTCAGTGTCCGGGGACAACAGGAGAGCTCTGTCACACAGAAGTACTGGCAGACTTGTGGGTAAGTCAGTGTATTCAAGCAGCAAATAAGGGTGTTTGTTGTTTTGTAGTGCTACGAAAAACAAGTTAGTAAATCCATGCCATAAGTCGCATTAGTAGAATTTACCAGATTTTAAAGATTACTTAACATTAAAAAACAAAAACCCACATCATTCAAGTTATAAAAATGTTTAAAAGAATTACAATCATTAGGACCTTTAAAAAGTTCAATAGAATTTAAGTTACCCTGTAACTTGCATGGGAGCTCAGTTAAGAGATGGCCTTTGGGTCTCAGACAGGGACTTTTAAGCAGCACTAGAACTGTCATGGATTGACTGTACTTCTGCATTATAAGATGGCCATGGGGAGGAAGGCATATTTAAAGTATTTGGGTGTCAAGCTGGCAAAGGGTGGAACTGTGATCCTTAGTCTCAATTGTCAACGTGATGAAATCCAGAATCACATAGGAGTTGGGCCTAGGAATGTCCACAGGCCATCACCTTGACTAGGAGAAGAACCTAGGAATGTCCCTGGGCCATCACCTTGATCAGGTTCACTGAGGAATAAAGACCAGTCCTAAGTGCAGAGCGAGACCATTTCCTAGGCTGGGTCCCAGACTGAATGAAAAGGGAGAATTTAGCAACAGTATTCATTGTGGGTGCAGTGTCATACAGCTCCAACTGCTGCGACTTCACCACTACAAAGAACTTAAGCTGTGAGCCAAAATAACCCCTCCTCCCTTGCTTTTGGCAGAATATTTTATCTTAATGTTGGGGAAAGACCCACATACGACATCTTCAATTCACAGAATGTAACTATCTTGTGAACATCACAGGAGTGGCAGATGCCCTTTGCTGCTCTTATACAGGGCCAGGGACTTTTGAGTTAATCCTCAACTTTCTGAACCAGAGGAATATGTCCTCTATTCTATGTATATATTTGAGACAGGTTGTCCTGGAACTATGAAGACCAAGGTGGCCAGGAACTTACCTAACTCTGATTCCAAGGGTGGGATTAAGGGTATGTACCACCATTTCTGGCTTCTATTTTATTTTTTAAATTAATTAATTTTGGGATGCTATATGCTCATGTTTTTATATTAAAACTTAAAATTTTAATTTTGCTATTATGTACTTTAACTACTATTTTGACCAAGAAAGCCTACAGGACAAGGCAAGAAATATACTGAAGACAGTGACATGACAAACTATGCCGAGTTCTGCAAGGGACAGCTGCTACCTTACCACCGGAGAGTCTGTGCCAAGTCATCTGGTTTCTTAAACCACAAAGCTGTAATTTTTAGTCAAAATCATTATTTTTAAAAACTAGTCACAGTATTATCTGTAGTCATGTAGCCTTGGAATGGCCAGAGGTTTATGGGTCTTCTTCTCAGTAGGCTATCCTGGTCACCGATCTTCAGTGTTGCCAGTCAGTAATGTGCTGTACCTCTGTGCAGGAATTAGTTATGTAGACTGGAGTGCTAAGAAACAAATGCCTAGTTTGGCCTGGAGAGCAGGAGTTATGACAGCAGGCAGGAGGGATAGTTGTCTAGGGAAGGGCACACCCAGGGGAAGACAAGTAGGGTGCATGCTAGGAAGAAGCAAGTGTCACAGCAGAACAGCAGAGACAGATGTCAACTGTCACAAGGACATGAAGCCAAAAGCGTTCTATCCACGAAGAAAAGTATCTCAGAAGAGGATCAAGCAAATCCTTGAGTGAAACCTCTGAAATCCATGAGTCAGAGACACACACCGAAGCCGTAGCCTTCATACTGCTGCCGCTCCCGCTCCATCGTCTGCTTGATGACAGTCTCCCGGGAGTGGTGGCGTCGCCCCTGCCTGTCCCTGATGCTGTTATGCAGCTCAATCTGCTCCAGCTCACTGCTGAATCGATGCAGATACCTGAACAACAGAAAAATGATTTGAGTGACCATGTCTATATATATGGGCTTTAATTAATTAATTTACATTGTATTAATTCATTAATTCCTTTGATTGACATACTCAAATTCCTCATTTCCTCAGACTTCTTGATCACTTTCCTGATGAATCCAACCACTTCTTTACTTGAGTGAACAAATCATAGCATGCTGTGTGCTGCACTGAGGAAGCTCACACTGAATCACCTACGCCTCTTTAGTCCTTAGCATCTCACCCTCAGAGACTCACACCATGCCCTTCCTCATGTCCCAGCAAGCCGGCTCCATTGTCTGAGCTCCCCACCTCAGGACACAGTATAACATCCATAGTGAGGGTTAGAGGCATCCACCTAACGCCTCTCTATTCTATGCCTAAGTTCTACCTCTGAACATCACTGCACTCCAGCTCTCCATCAGGCTACGACTCTCTACACAGAGGACAGCAGTATTGTGGCCAGACTGTCCCAACAGCCTCTTAACAGGGCCTCTAGCAACACCATGGCCACTTCTTAGTATTGGCCTCATTCTCAGGCTGTGACCTGAAGTATTTGATGAGGACACAAGCTTCCCGGAACGTCCTCCCAGAGCTCCCTGTCCTTAGATAAGGTCCAAACTCAGATGGCCACGGCCACCTAACGCTGTTCATAAGCCAGCTGTCACTTGCAGCACCATTTACACCAGCCTTTGAGCTTGCTAGCCCCGCCATCTGAAACGCCCATGGGTCCTTCCACCCATCAGCTTCTCCCGTCTCGGGGCCTTTTAGACACGATTCTCTCCGTCTGAAGGCCCTTTCAAGCTGCCTGACCTCAATCTAACCCTAGGGCCGGTGCAGAAAATGCTCCTTCAGGAAGCTGTCCCTAATCCCAGGAAATAGGAGCAGCCAAGATGGATCACAAACTTCATCTTTTTTTTATAAAAGCCCATCTGCTCATATCCAAATCCAAGGCAGAGCTGTCCCTGGAGAGCCAGACTGGAACTCTTTTCTGACCCTCTGTTTACAGTATGCCCGTATTACCTTTCAATTAATTCACAGGCATCCTTCTTTGTATATCTTGTTTTGTTTGTATCCAGATGACTGTGAAACCACTGAAGTTTGTCACCTATGAATAAGTATCAAAGTTTAGCACCACAAGCCTCATGTAGGCAAAGGCTTCCACCACAATCCTCCAGATCCAAGCATTCAAAACTAAAGCAAATCTACTTCATTTTTAAGTAGAGAGATCTGTGTAGCACAGTCAATGAGACCAATTTGTCAGAAATGAAAATGCAACGTTTTATTTAAAGACAGAGATAAGGATAAGAGTGGTGTTTGCCTCCATGCACGTCTTTCCTTTTAAATTACGTGAGAGAGTGTGTGTGTGTGTGTGCGCGCTTATGCATGTGAGTGTAGTGTCCACAGACGCCAGAGGAGGATGTTGGGCCCCAGAGAGCAGGATTTGTAGGCAGCTGTGGATGTGGATTCTGGGAACTGAACTCTATGAGAGCTGTATGCCTGTCCTCCTAAATAGAGCCATCTCTCCAGCCCCATACATTTCCTTCACATCAGTGAAGGGAGGAAAGAAGAATTAATAGAATATGAAATTCTAAGTTCTTATGAAGCAAAACATGTAACTTGTTTAAAGTATTTTAAAATGTGATCAATGATAAAAATAGTATTTTTAAATACTTAAACCGTGGACACCATGTCCAGAACTTTATAATTATTCTACTCGGATCAGTACTATTTCACATTTACACATGAAGTTAAGTCACCTGTACAGAGCATTACTAAACATGTTAATCCTAAGAGAGAGAGGAGTCAGGTACCATGCAAAGAGAAACTCCAGACTTGTTAGTAAAAATTTATTAGCAATAAATATGACCCACAGGAAGATAGAGACAGAGTGGGGGGGGGGGGGGAAGGGAGAAGACTGTGCCACTCACAAAGACTAAACACGCATGCACCCCTATTAAACATGAGCCCTCTGCTACACAATCCTTAAGCTATCGCTGTAGCTTGGCCCATGACTTAAACGCCTATTCTCTAGTACCCAGTGCTCCTGGGAGCTGATGAGACCTTTGAGAGGCGAGGCCGAGTGGGCACTCTTCATCTCTGAGAAGTGCCACTACTGAAGGGGATGTTGGGACTCCTTGGCCAGTATGAGACAAGCAGCTTGTCCAGCACACACCCCCCTCTGCCACTGCCTCCTGCGTTGCTGCCAGTCCCAAACAATGTGATCAGCTTCAAGTTCCTCTTTATAAACCAGTTCTCTAAGGAATGTGCTGCAGCAGGCTAGCACAGCACACCCTTCATAACCTCAGCTGCGGGAGAGCACCAAACATGAGCTAGAGTGTGGAGGTGCATGGAAAAAAGTTTCCACCAAGCGGAGCCGCAGGGATACTCGCAATTTATTCTGAAAGTCAAATGCTCTGCTCCACTTCCTCTGATTTCTTACAGCTAAGTCTGCTCTCTCACATATCTGATAAAATACTAGAGAAATTGATTTAGAGCAAAATTTCACTATTCTGTATGCAGCCAGAAATCTAAGCACTCGAACCCACTTACCAATAAGGTTGAGACGCAAGGCCCTCTCGTTCTTCAATCTTAAACCAAAAGGTGCATATAAATTAGAAAATTTCCAAAGCAGGGGCTTAGAAATCTGTCAAAAATATCGCAAAGAAACACTTCCCAGAGAACTTTGACATTTTTTCACACATAATAAAAAAACATCAATCTTAACAACAAAGAAACATCGAATGACAGGAATCTTTTAAAATCGCTGGAATGAGACGTCATTGGACTGTTGGTTTCGTATGCTAGTGCGTAGGGAAAGCCTAGAGGACTAGTCCTGTTAACGCAAACAAAGGTTTGACTGGGCTATGTCTATGCCTGCAGCAGCAGCATCTGAGGACTACTTGGAAGTACACAATCTCAGCCCAGAGCCCTCAGCAGACCTTCTGTCTGAGTGGGAAACCCTGCAGCAGAAAACACTGCTGTAATATGGCATATCTCAGGTCAAATGAAGTTTGGTAAAAATTATACTGTTTAGATGTAGTAAGTCATGTTAAAAAGAACAACAAAACGCTAAGTGATGAATGAACACCTGACATTTGAAAACTACTACTTTAGGACAGTACTGCCATCATACATGTTTAGGTAAAAAAGACACATCCTCCGCAAAAAAGAAAATCAGAGTATGCCATCACAGTCTCTCCAAGAAAATTTCTAACCAAATCACCATAAATCAGCCAAGTTTTACCAGATAAGGCTTTAGGTCTTAGGCAAAGCATTTTTCCACCAGCCACTGTTGCACTCACTGGAACAGCAAGGCTAGTCCAAAATAACAACAATGACTTCTTTTTGGTCCTCACTTTATGGAATTTTTGCACTATCTTCCCCCTCAACTTCAGACCCTCTCCTCCAGTCTTGGAAGTAAGTGTGTACACAAATTAGAAAATTTCCAAAGCAAGGATTCTGAAACCTGTTAAAAGCATTAAAAACACCCTGACATTCTTTGGTATATGTTTCCTTTTAGTATCTGTGGCAGACTTCTGTCCAAAGCTGCCCGACTCTGAGATGGCAGGACAGCTTCTAGGCTGCCTCAGGCCTCACTGTGTTCTCTCCCATCCACAACACTCCTTCTGAGATCTAGTCTGCTGGTTCCAATCCACCCGACCCAAATACTGACCTGTGACATCTCTAACCAGTCCCTGAACACTGGGCCCAAGACATTAACCACACATTCCATATTTCCTTTGTTATGTTGGATACACAGCACAACAGAAATGCCTTCATCAGTGGTTTCCTCCCTACTATCTCTCGACTCTGCTCAAATGCTAATTAACTTCTTGAGTCTTCCAGGACTTCTATAGCATATAACCTCTCCCTCTTTATTCTTCATCCTGTGTTAATTTTTCTTCACTGCACTCACCGAGGACTGCTACTTAAACATCTGTTTTAGGTCAGCTCTGTTAAGACCACAGGCTTCGTTATGCTTACCTCAGTACAAGAACACATGAAAAAATATTTATCAAAGGACAAGCAGGGGGTGGCAACTGAGGAACACACCTGACAGGTAGATGCTTGCCCTAGTGCACACCAACGGGACTAGACACGTACCTTTCCTTCTTGTCTTGTTTGTGGGACTCCCTTGTAATCTGAGCTGCTTTCCTACTGTATGGATGGATGACTTTCTTTTCCCGACCAACAATTTTTCCTTTCAGTCCTTTAGGCTAAAAGATAGGACACACACAGTCAGATACTTTAAGTTGACTACAGTCACAAAATCATCTTCACAAAATACAATGAGCAAGAGACGTCACACTGGGGATGAGGAGACGGGCCAAACCTCTTCCAAATTCCAACAGCCTTCATTCCCCCATGCTCATCCCAGAAGGGATCTATTCAGAAATCTCCAATGGCATTATCCCACACAGGGAGCGCATCCAAGTCAGGGACTCAGCTGTGTGAGTTTAAAGCAAGCTCTGAGACTAGCTAGAGGGGCTGGCAACCCTGCCTAGTTAAAGACATCTCCAATGTTGCAGAACAGAATTTTGGCAGGCATTTCCCTGCGGCACATGGAAGAGAATGGGGATGGCACATGCAAAAACCATGTTCAGCAAACTTGGCTGGTTCAAACCAAGAACTTAAGAACAACAGAAGCCACCACAACATCAGCACACCTAAATGGGGAGAAAACCTAAGCTATTTTCCCCATTCAAGCCTTAGCAGTTGAGGCCGCCAGAAGCCGGTCCTCAAAGACATTATACATTTAAGGCTGCTTTTTTTAAATTATGCAATCCTGTATTTGGGCCCACCTATATTACTTAGGAGTCAGGTTTAAGTCTGTAGAACAGAAACCCAAAATAAAAACTAAACAGTCCACTATGACTTACGGAGTCAGGCTCCCCCGACGCTGGCAGACCACAACTTCCCCCACAGTCTGTGAAAGCTTAAGGCCTGCTCAATTCTCCAACCATAAATAGAAAAGAAAAACTCAGGAAAGCCCCCCTTTCTCTGGCCCATGTTCTACTGACAAAAACTTAGTGCTGCAGAAAGGAATGGGTATGTATAATTTTCAATCTCTGTGAAGCATTCTATCATTCTAACTAAGCCGACAAAAGTTAGATAACTTCCCAGAGATGACAGGTGTCACTCTCAGGCCTCTGGAGTCATGGGGCTGAGTTTCAGAGAAAGGTGCAGGGCCACTGTTGATGATGAAGATGAGAAAAAATGGGGCCACAAATGTGACAAGTAGAACATAATAATAAAGACGCTACTACTTTGACCTCTATGCAAAACAACCAAGTTTTACTAAGGGTGGCGAACGTGAACTGCCTATTGCTAAGGACAAGTGCAGTAGAATCCCCAGTACAACACAACTTCTTTAATATCTTAAATACTCTGAAGATTATACTGAGAAATCGTACAAGCATAGGGGATAACCAGGCTGAAAGTAGGCAAGGAAGACATAAAAAGACAAAAAAGTAAAGGAACAGAGAAGGCTCGGGGAGTAAAGGCGCTTGCTGCTAAGCCTACAACTTGAGTTGGATCTCAGGTGCCCACATAGTGGAAGGAGAGAACACACTCCCACAAGTTGTCTTCCAACATCCACACGCACACAAAACCAATCATAAGCATAGCATTCAGATTCTGCAAATGAGCTCCTTATACTACTACACATAAATGTTTCATCAACACTACTCTGTTTAAAAATATCGACAAAACAACATCGTTGCCCGGGAGGCAAGACTGCTGCGAGAGATCAGAACTGGCCACCCACGGGCTGTGGACCCACACACCTCGTGGTGACTGTGCCCGGAGCAGGGAGGATCTGTACCTGCCCCAGGGCAGAGGTGGGTGAAGGCGCAGGGCTTCCTCCAGGGGAAGGAGACCTGGAGAAGCGCGGGAGCACTCGGTCCCGGGACACACCCACGGCGAGGGGGGAAGAGAGGGAGCACTCGGTCCCGGGACGGACACCCACGGCGAGGGGAGAAGAGAGGGAGCACTCGGTCCCGGGACACACCCACGGCGATGGGGGAAGAGAGGGAGCACTCGGTCCCGGGACGGTCACCCACGGCGAGGGGAGAAGAGAGGGAGCACTCGGTCCCGGGACACACCCACGGCGAGAGGGGAAGACAGGGAGCACTCGGTCCCGGGACGGACACCCACGGCCAGCACCGCCCCGGCCGCCGCTCCGCGTGCGGGTCTCTCCCGGGTCCGAGGATGCCCTTCCCGCCCGCCCGCCCAGCGTCCCGGGGAAGCCAGCGAGGCGCCGCCCACCATGGCGATGTCCTGGCCACCGCGGCCCCGCGGCCGGCGTCCGGACACCGCGGCCTCACGGATTTGCTCGGCAGCCGCTCCCAGGCTCACTCCTGCCGAAACACACGTGGATCCGGGGGAAACGGATAGCAACGGACAGGAAGGGGAGGAGCTAGTGCTTTCCCTAAAAGGTCCCCGGAAATCAAGGCTTGTTTTTTTTTTTTTTTTCTGCCCGCCGTGGATTTTCAGCCGGTTCCACGGGCCCAGAGGTTGGCGGCGTCCCCGAGGCCGCCGCTTGTTTCTGTGGGAAGGGCAGACCTAAGCGTCTGCCTGGAGGAAGCTCTCCAGGGGCGAGCACCTCGTCCGGAAATAGCGTCTCGGGACCTGGATACCCTCTGCAGGTCTTGACGATGCCCCGGGTCCCAGAGAGGTGGCAGGAAGATCAGCCCTCGCTTTTCCTTGGGTTTTCTCTGTCGTTTTCTTTCCACACATAAAGGCTACTGTTCGGTTTTCGTACTGCATAGAAAATCTTGCTGAGTAACTATTGATCAAATGCCTAGTGCGTGCCACACAGGGACGGCATTCACTCCATTTGCATAATTCCTATCCGTAGGGAGACATACAGAAGTGAGTATTTCAGATAGTATTAGGATATTGACTATTCCATGGAGCAACTGGATTGAACTTGCACAGAGCGAGAGAGGGAAGAGGAGAGGGGAGGAGAAGGAGAGGGAATGGAAGAGGATGACAATGAACGGACTCCTGGTGTCCTATCAGACCACTCTGCAATTAAAAGTAGAAACCCGCAGCAGGAGAGACTACATAAAGTTAAGTATCCACAATCAAACAAAAATCAGAGCTTTCTAACAACCTAATATTTCTACCTTAAGGTCCCACAAAATAAGAAGTCACTCCCAAACCAGTAGCTGTCCCCCCAAAACATAAAACAATTAAAGCAGAACTTAATGAAACAGAGACCAACAAACCCTCAATATATAGAATTAATCAAAAATGTTGTTTCCTTTAATGAACAACAAGAGTGGCAAACCTCCAGCCAAAACTAATAAAAAGAACGAGAAAGAAATCCCACTTATTAACTTATGGTGAAAGGGGGATTATAACTACAGATTCCAATGAAATCTATAGCATCGTTAAGGAATACTTTGAAATTTATATTCCAAAGAGCTAATAAACAGGACAAATTGGCGCACTATTACACGTGTATGGCAGACTAAAATTACAGACTCATTTTCTTGATGAACAGAGCTACAAAAATTGTGAACAAAATAATTGCCAACTAAATGTAATTCAAAATACATTACATAATTCACACATGCTCAAATTATATAATGTAGTTCAAAATGCATTAATATTATCATACATCACGACTAAGCGATGAACTTGAGTCAATGTACACATATCAGTGAATATAAAACCACTACACTATACAAATAAACCAAAGTCAGAATTCACATGACCACATAAAAAGGACAGTTAACAAAGTTCAACATGCCTCTTGGTAGAAGTCCTGAGGAAATTAGGAATAGACTCAGCATATCTGAAAGTGATTAAGGATATATGCAACCAATATGTAAGCAAAATTTTGCTAAGGGGGAAAAACTAAGCATTTCCTCTAAAATCTGGAACAAGACAAGAAAGCCCACTGTTAGCACTCTTATTCAGTACAGGGCCTGAAGTCTTAACCAGAGCAATAAAACAAGAGGAATGTGCAAGAGGCATAAAAATAATAAAGAAGTCAAATTATCCCTATTGATAGATTATATCGTGGATACCTAAAAGACCCTATAAACTCTACCAGAAGACTCTTCAATCTAGTAGTTACTTTCAGTAAACTTTGGGATACATAATTGACAAACAAAAAATATCAGGGGTTTTCATATCTATCAGTAATGGACTCACTGGGGAAGAAATTGGGAAAATATCCCATTTGTTATAGATCCACCCAAAATAAAGATACTTAGGAATAACCTTGGCCAAAGAAGTGAAAGATCTCTACAAGGAAAAGGTGTGGACACTGAAAAGAAGAAACCAAAGAAGACACAGACATGGAAAGAGTTTTCCTACTCCTACACTGACAGACACGTAACAGGCCACAAATAGCCAGAGCAACACTACAGGAAAAGGACATGGCACCTAACGCAAAGTATACTATAGTGTTACTGTGACACAGAGAAATGGTACCGGCACAAAGCAGATCTGCAGACCAGTGAAACAGAGCAAAGGACCCAGAAATTATCCCATAAAGCTGTGGCCACCTGATTTATGATGACGTTGTTAACAAAGTAGAGTGGAGACCAGACAGACTGCTCAACAACAGTAGTGACAGCAATGTCCTGACACCTTCAGGAAGATGAGATGTGATATGAAAATCAACTCAAAGTGGGCCAACGACTTTAGTTTAAAACCTGAAGTGCTGAAACCACTAGAGGAAAGCATAGGAACCAAACTTCATGGCATAGGAATAGGCAAGAAATTTCTGAGCTGGACTTCAGTAGCACAGGTGTCACGAATTAGTGAGTTGGACTATGTGAAATGTATGTCTCTGCACTGTACAGGAAGCCAGCAGCAGATTGAACAGAAAACAGCCTAGAAAATGGAAGAAAAACCAGTTAGTTATGCTTCAAGCAGAGATGCTATTATCTAAAATTTATAAAGAACGACAAAAAGATTAAGTGCAAAAGATCAAACTGTCAATTAGCAAATAGGCCAGCAGACTGTCTTTAAAGAAGAAATACAAATGGCCAGTAAGTATTTTAAGAAAGTATTTATTGTCCTCAGCCATTGTGGAAATGTTTCTTCTATCCAGTGTTACCCCTGTGAATTCTCATGATTGTTATTTATCTTCCTTTGGGGAATCATTTCCTAAGTTCTGTTGGTTCCTGGGTGTTGGCATTCCCTTACTCGTCTTTGATATTCTGTGGCCCCTTAAAATTTCTGGGCAGGGTTGTATTAGCTGCGTATGGAACATCTTGCCCTCCTTACTTTCTAGCTCCTCCTTTTATTTTCCATCTCTTTATTCAGTTTTTCCTGCCAAATAAGAGGCTTCTAATTTACTCTTCTGTTTTATCTGTAATTTATCTGTTGTCACCTTCATTTCGTCTGTGTGTGTGTGTGTGTGTGTGTGTGTGTGTGTGCAGAGAAAATCTCTGATGCTGTTCCTCATGTGCCATATATTGGGAAGGGTCCCTGAAGCAGTAACAGCCAGCAGGGAACCAAACTGCAAAGAGGTGAGAAGGAAAACTTGGTACAACTGGACTTGGTCAGATAGACAGGATTGAAACTTCTAAAGAGTCTGATTCTGTGGTTTAATTTTCTTGCACATTTGATCCCTTGCAAAATACCCACTCTAGCAAAGTATATAATACCTTTATCCTAAGAATGAGTTCTATTGATTGGAAAATGGTGCTCACTGCTAGGGCACAGAGGAGGAACTTGTAATAAGCATAAGGAAGGATGGGTTCTATTGGTGGAGGATGCAGACAGAGTGCATGGGTTCTGTTTCGCAGGGATGAGATATTCACTGAGACACAAATCCCAGCATTGGGGCCTAAACAATTCTCAGGATTTTGGGGAAATTCAGGTGGAGGCTGTTTCCTACTAGAATAGCAAAAGATCATCAGGGTGTTTGACCACTTTCACTCCAGGATTCCAGGTGACCAGGCGTCATTCTTCCTTCTGTTGAATAAAACAGACATGTGCTTAGCAAGTCTGGTTTCTTGAATGCTTACCCTAAGATATACTTCCTACAGTCATCTACTTTTCCTTTGAAAAGGGGGTTCTTTCTGTTCTAGGAGTTGCTCAATGGGTTGATATCCCCAGAAACCTGCCTGTTTCTGCCTTCCCAGTGCTGCAATTACATAGATGTCTACATTACTCTCAGTTCTGGTAATCAAGTTCAGGTCCCCATGCTTTGAGCACTGTATCTATCAAATTATTCCCCTAGTGCTGGAACATATCCAAGAATGGGGTCTTGTGAGATTTCTGAATTTTTATGGGAAAACAAGACAAATGTCTTGTGATGTCAGTTTCTTCAAAACATGGAATTGTTCCTGGGATGTGCTTTCGTGCCCCTCCCAGGGGCTGCAAGTAGGAGTGAGTTCATTTCAGATTATTCATCACAAGTAGATATTGTAATCTGTTTTAATGCATCTATGGAAAAAAGCATGTTTTTGCCATGTTCAGCCTGCCTATCACGTGCAGTTTGCCCTTGTATTGTACACCTTACTTAGTGACTCCTCTTATCCTTCAGAGTCTACAGGTTTTGATGGTCTGAATAAAGTTGGCTATTGTGTGAGACTTTACTCTGCATCATTTATTGACTCCATTCTTTCAGGTCCCACTGCCTCTACGGCAGACCATCCCAGCCCTCGTTTATTTCTTTACTAAATCATAATATTTTCCATTGGTGTTTTAAAGGCAATTTCATACTCCCTTGCTGGATGTAGTGGTTTGAATGAAAATAGCTCCTACAGGCTCAAAGGGAGTGGCACTATTAGGAGGCGTGGCCTTGTTGGAGGAAGTGTGTCCCTGGGGGTGGACTTTGAGGTTTCAGATGCTCAACCCAGGTCAGTCTCTCTTCCTTCCTGGTGCCCGCTGGTCTAGACAGAAGTAGGAGAACTCTCAGCTACCTTCCCAGCACTATGCTCCCTGCTATGACAACAACGGACTGAATCTCTGAACCTGTAAATCAGCCCCGATTAAATGCTTTCCTTTCTATGAGTTGCCCATGATCATGGTGTCTCTTCACAGCAATAGAAAGTCTAACTAAGACACTAGGTTGTAATATGTATCTTTATTCTTCTGGATACACACAGCTCTAGTGGAGCAGTATGTATCTGTCCCATTTAGACATAGGGCAAGCACGTGCTTTGCCATTTTTAAAACTTTCTGGTGTCACCGGCGTACTTCCCGTGCTTTTTTTTTTCTTTAGACCTCCACATTAGACTGATTTTTGTCGAGGGAGTCAACTACCACGTCCTCTCTTTTGAGGTACAAAAAGATTCAAAGTTACCGCATCTGCATCCTTCCTGGGGAAGCTGAAACAGAAGGCCGGCTGAGGAGACAGCACTAGAGAAAGCTCGCCCTCTGCTGGTCGAGAGTTGCAGGCTGGAGAGAGCTTGAGAACGCTTCATCTTGGTCCTGTTCCCTGCATTAACATGGTACAGTCTCACACTGCGGGTTTCTGACTTCTCCAGAGCCTCGAAGCTGCCACCCCCCACCTAGCAATGCCTCCACCGGCCTCACTCCCTCACCACTTACGGTTCAGTCTTTCCAGAAGC